TTTCATATGTGATGTTCGCGATGCCAAGAAAAAGTGGCACACTCGGTGGGGTGGCACTCTCGGTGGTGGAATACGTTATATATATATATATATATATATATATATATGGCTATGCGCCCTACCCTACGCACAAACAAAGTATCCTTGTACTAAGTATTCTGATGATATATCTCATACTTGCTGTCTCCCTTTCTTCTTCCTTTCTTTCCTCTTTCGTCATAGTCACACTTGTTCTCTTATCACACGCTAACTTGTCTACATACTTTCACATATACATACATATATATATATATATATTTCCCTATACCTCCCTCACTCCCTTATCCCACTCCCATATACCCTCTTCTCTTTTCTACTTAGCCCTCTCTACCCTCCAACCCCGCATTTCCCCCCTTGCATCCATGCATCCCTATCCCTATCCCTACCCCCCCCCCACTCCACCATCGTACCATCCATCATCATACATACATACATACGCAACCCAGGATCCCACTTTACTCCGCTTTATTCCTCACATAAACCCCACCCTTACCTACTCCCTCCCCGTTTCCCCTGTTATAATTCTTTAGTTTCCCCTGTTATATGTGTAGGGATAGCGGGTTATTTTATGTTTCAAGTTTATTTTCTCGCCACTGAACAAAGTGGTTTTTTGGTCTTCTGTGGGATAGATGGATGGGATAGGCGGATGGAGGGACGGACGGACGGAGGGGGGATAGAGAGGCGTGTTGCGTTGCGTATGTGCGTAAGTGTTTCAGGTTGAGTTGGGTGGTGTTGTTTATTTCGTTTAGAGGGGACTTGAGGGGGGGTAGATATGGCTAGCGGGGGAGCTGGGGGATTGATTCGGCGGTTGTTTTGGGGGGGCGTGGGGTGTGAGCGGGGGGTGCCGGGTTTGTGGGGGACTGGTTTTGCTGGGGTTGGTAGAGGGTGTGATGTGCTGCGTTAGTCTGTTGGAATTGCGCGAACAAAGGGATTAAAACGTACGTATATTCTTGAGTCTAGTCGCTTGCTGCCCTGCATCACTACCACATTCGAGGTTTGACACTTACGAAGCCAAGCATTATAGCTCTAGATAGTGGGCACGGTAAGCAAATAATCAACCTGTTGTTCGCGAATGAGCACAGTAACAAGGGACACACAGCTCTGTATATAATATCAATCGGGTCTCGATTTGCCATCGAGATAGTGAATTACCAATATAATCTAACCTAGAAGAAAATAAGTCTAGAGTTGCACATCAAACACCTAAAAATCTCACTATCACAAAACCCCCCCGCACCCCTTCTACCTCTGTTGACAGCTTCGCTCTTAAACGAGTGCCGCAGACGCTGGTTCCTCCTTGGGCTCCTCCTCCTTAGGCTCCTCCGTCTTGGGCTCCTCCTTGGGCTCCTCTTCCTTGGTAGGGTTTTCGCAGACGCACTCCAACTCGCTACAAACGTGTCAGTATCTATTTCTCCAATACCCAGAATAGAAAAGACTTACCTGGTCTCAGAGGCCTTCTGGCAAGTACCTTTGCCCTGCTGGGAAGAAGAGCAGAGGTAGGTGCAAATGCTGTCACCGGTGAAGCTCATGCAAGGGTTGAATTGGCTGTATTGCAAGTGTCAGATGAGCGAATTCACAAGACGAAACGGCATGGGAGATGAGAAGGCAGCAGGGCCCAATGCCAGACGACAGAGATTAATGGAAACGAGGAAACTTACGCGCTTTCGAGCTGGCGTCTCACGATGGAGGGAGTAGAAGACGTATCAGCGGGAACTGCGAGGGCAGCAGCTACGTCTTCGAATTGGCGGCGGGTAATTCCAGTGGAAGGCGTGTCGTCGGGCATGCCGAGGGCAGCCTCCAGCTCTTCGAATTGGCGGCGGGCAGGCTGTTCAGCCACCACACCAGCATCGCGTACCTCGACTCCGGCATTGGCTCGACGGTTCTTGAGTCCGAGAACAGACGTGTCAATGGGCAGACCGAGGAAAGGCGTCGGGGTAGGAGTTGGCATGGAGGACATGGAAGAAGAAAATCCTTCGCCCTTGGTTCCGGACGCAGGCAGGGCGCTGCTCACGGCAGCAAAGGCCGAGGCGGCGGAGAAAGCGTAGGTAGTGAAACGCATGTTGAAGGAGTGACTGGAAGGCTTCGTAAGGAAAGTTGTTGTGTGAAGGGAAGAGTGAAGGAGTGTGGATGATGATGGGAAGAAGCCAGTGTAGCAGGAAAGCCGCAGCTTGATATATCTCCTATTCAAGGCATTTTGTTTTACGTCCCGACATGTGGTGCTTTGGCCCTCGTGTGCGACATTGTTGCTCCAGGTGCCTGTTCACACCGGAATCTCAGTGCGGCGTCAACGTCGATCGCGATGTGCATGGCTGAAAAGGGTCTAGTAGCGCTGCCCTGCGCACATGGCTCGCGCGCAAACTGTGGATTTGAGATTTTGTTGATGCCAGTGGGGACAGAGGTGTAGGATAGACTGAATGGTGCTTTGTAACACCCACGTTTTTTGGCAATTGGGACTGAGGCTACTCGCATATACCAGACGTACAGAGTGAAACATGTCGTCCTACCGGCCAAACACCCAGTTTCAATCTGATAGAAGAAACAGCCGCATGTTCATGTGGAGAGTGTGATGTGCGGCCAAGCTACACAGGTCACTACAGCATAAGGGGCTACTCGACGCATGAATCTGCGCATGCTGAGTGCCGGGCACGAAAACAAAGCCAACAACCGGTACTTACATCAACGCTTTCTGCGCGACCAGCTCGGATCAGTGACGTACCGGGAAATCGGTGATTTCTCAAGGTGGAAAAGCAAAGGCGAACGAGATCCGTTGGATATTGGGGGTTTGAAGATTAAGAGACCAAAATAGAGGCTGTAATTTCCACTGATGCGAACATGTTGGAGGAGATGCATAGCTATGTCTGTGTAGGTTGTGTTGTGCCGAACAAGCATTGCGCTGAACTTGCTGCCAACTTCTCAGCCTTGTTGCTTACTGAAGCAATGGGGATTTAGCAAGCAAAGCGAAGCCATTGTTTGGATACGCTACGTTTTTCATCGAGAATAGTTCTTGTAGCGGATGCGGTACGAAATCCACCGCTACACATGTCAAACTCGTTGGCTATCGACCTCGCCAGCCATCCAATCAGCAAGCAACGCACGGAAAGGGGGTGTTCGCACGAAAAGCCGAACACTAGAGACGAAGAGGCGAGGAGAGAGAAAAAAGCAATCATCAGGGGCTAGCTAGGTAGGCCGTCGATCACAGGGAAAGGATGACGCTACCGCGCTGAAAAGGAGCGGGAAGTTGATTGGGCGTCGACAAAAGGGTATTGAAGCTTACTAGGTAGGTACACTAAGTCACAGAAGGCGAAAGTAGCTAGATTTTTTGGGTTTCAGGTGTTGCCGTTCTATGGGGGATGCTAAAGGCAAGCATAGGGACTTGCCGCAACAACAAAGCACTTGTACCCACCCACTCACACACACACACACACGGCTATCTTACCAATACCACCACGGCTTTCTTAGTCTCTGCCTGATCGCCGCAACAAACAAGCTCGGACTGCTGCTCGTTATCTTACCCCAATCCCTTCTTGCCGAGCAAAAGAAACAAGAGGAAAGAGAAAGAGAGAGAAGAGGAAAAAGGATGTGTATTGGCATGTACTGTATGTACACCTCCAGCAGCCCGATACTTCTCTTTCCAGTCCGAATTAGCGAGCCCACGTGCAATAACCCTGAAAACGGAGATCCTTCTTCATCCCTGCCCACATCTGCTTCTGGTTAATGTGCTCTGTAGCGTAGACAGATAAGGGCGGGGCAAAAAAAAAAGAGGGGTGGTGGTGGTGGCGCGAGGTACATTGGCGCACACGATCCGCGAGGCCAAGCATGCAAGTATGTATGTATGTGGAAAGAAAAGATCTTTAGACGAGTACTTAGACGACGCCTTCTCATTTGACCAGCTATTCCTGTCGCTTTTTATCCCGCTATCCTTTTTCTTTTCATGCGGCTTTCTCGCTTCGTACATGCCTATCTGTACCTGCGTAGGCGATGGGTGCGCCTCACTTATCGAAAAGGGGGGTTATGTGTGTGTGTGTGTATATATATACATACAAGCTCGGAGAAGGACGCCGGCGTATTGGGGTTTTCCAAAGGAAGAGAAGATATGCGGGTGTGACAAAGGGGGTGCAACAGAACGGGAAAAGAAAAAGGAAAATAAAGGCTACTTACTGAAAGTATAGATTTGAGTGAGATTCATTTCTTGTCTAAAAGTTTTCGTCCCCAATCAGCAGTTCCCTCTATGCTGTCTACGTACACATATAAGAGAGCTGTGCTAGAGCTACTTGGATGAGCGCCTCTTGGTTGGCGTAGAACCTCTTTTCTACTTGCTGCTTCTTAGTAGGGGCAACACGCCATTCTAACTACCAGTGTACCAGACGTTTTGACTCGAGTGAAATTCCTCTCTTCACTCCTTGTCTAAAAGGTTCCTGTCGATTATCCGCTCCATCTATGCTATCTACATGGAAACCACCAACGAATTAATTCCATAGCCAAAACACCATCCCTTCGCCCTCCCCATCCCTCCATCTCTCCACTCCCTCAACCCCCCTCACAGCTCCCTCCCCTCGAGCCCAAACCTCTTCGGATCCCTCTCTGCCTCCGCAGTCACATTCTTCATGAAAACCTGTATAACCTGCGTTTCCACGGCCCACATGGCAAACACGCGGAACACAGTGTAGAAGAACATGGCTGCAAGCAACTCGACTCCCTGCGTAAACACCAGTTGCTTGTGTGCGGGCACAACAACAAACGCCGTGAGATGTGCCAGCGGCGTGATGGAAAAGCATACACTAGCGTAGTAGAGAACGAGGCTCTGCGATAATAAGTATGTGTTAGTTGCGCGCGCAGGAGGGGGGGGGTGAGAGTGTTATACATGTATCCAACGCGATTCACAGCGACGATTCATCCGAATGCCACGAGAAAGTGGGGGAAAATGGAAAACGAAAAAAAACTCACAATCTTCAACTCCCGAAACACTCTCACCGGCGAGCGCAATCTCAGCAGCTCCATCAACATTTCACGCGCAACGTGATACCACAGGCTGCCTACGCTCATGTCGAGCATCCACTTGAGCAGCGTGTTACACCAGTTCAACGAGGCGCGGCGAACTCGGCCCTGTGCAATCCATTTCTGGACTACTTTTTCCTCGCGGTCTGGCATTTCTTCGAATTCAACCTCTGCTGCTGCTGCTGCTGTTGGTTCTTGTGATGAGGAGGACGAGGACGAGGTGTGGTATTGCGGCATCCCCCGGTTTCGCGGCCGAGCCGGAAGCAGTCTTTCGAGAGCGATGAACCACCAATACTGCAGTATGGAAAGCAAAAACACCATCATGACCCCCCTTGGGAGCTCCTGGCCGTAGAAGGACTCTGGCGCGTCGTTAGGTACTGGTGCTGTCGCGTTGGTGGTGTGCCCCATGGTCTGGTTTAGCGGTCCTTGGTTCTGCTCATTCGCGGCCTGGACAGACGTTGATTCATAGTATAATCTCGAAAAGGTGAGGAAAGTCTCGTTCTCCTGGAGCTTGTCTAGTAAGCCATAGGCTGCGTAGTGGTGGCACACTAGGCCGATCGTGTTGATCGCGGTGGCTTGGAGCACGGTACTTCGCATTGTTGGTGAGAATAGCATCTTGGTATCGTATGTATGGGATGTTGTGTAGTATGTACCAGATAGTCTGTGGGAGAATGTTACAAAGTCATGTTGATGTGGCCAAGCGGAGTTACTATAAAAACTTAATCGGCACGCTTGTCTGCCTTGGATGGGAGGCCTGGGATCTGCGCGTGTCTGCCTGACATTGCCACGTAGGATGCCGCGTAATAGAAAACCTAGTGAATGCTAGTAATTTCTTGTGGCTATGTTGAGGTAATTGGAATAGAGGATGCTTCGGATATCAGCTGTCTCGTGAACAATGCATATTGGGTTTACTAAGTGATTGGGCTATGTTGGTCTCTAGTAAAACATCCAAGGTTGTCGAAGGGGGCCGGGCGGCAAAGTAATCGCTTTTAGTAATTAGTCTCTGCGTCCTAGACAGCAATCGGCGACCATTGCCCAAATAAAGATGATTTGCAAATGTTTACCCTAATCTGTAGGCACAGCCCCAGAGCGAGTGATGTGAAAATGACAATGATTCGGGATATAAAAAGTAAACCAGCTTGTCTAATGCGCTGTCAACATTGGAAATACCAGAAAACTCAAACAACATCAACATGCACGTAGCAGCGTCGTGCTTGTCGATGGAACAGACATGAGCGACATTCAAGAACAGCCCTCTACTGACACTGTATGCGTAGTCTATGCAATGTAAGCGTATAGTCCGTCATCCTCTCTTTCCAGAAACTCCTTCTCAATCAGCCTGTCAATGTTCCTCTTAATGCCACTGACTTCCAGAGTACCCCTGTTCCTCGTAGCCTTGATTGTCTCGCTAACCAATTCGGCGTGACTGATCCTCTTTCTTGCCTTCAAGATGCGAACAATGGCGGCTTGAGTCTCGTAGTTTCGGTCAGCAGCAACACGTTCGTGCGTCTCCTTATTCTCAGCCGCGGTTTCTTTGAGTTGAACAGTGTTGACCTTGATGCGGTATTTGGGGTCTGTGAAAGAAGCGTTGATGGTGAATGTGTCCGTCTCATTGATTTCGCGGCCTTTTGGATGCTTCGTTAAGGGCCGTACTTTGGCACACGCGAGAGACTGTAATGTGCGATTAAGTTCGGCGGGTGCTATTTTCTATCAGCCATGTCATAATAGAATGATTGTATCACGTACGTAGTCCAGTGGCTTGCTTGAGGTAGTCGTAGTCAATATGCTCATCATCCTGCCGGCCGTTGAAAAGCAAGAGGACAATGGCCTGAAACGACGAAACCACCAACTCCTTGAGCCCTTTGGGAAATCTAGCCTTGATTTGGCAATGCGCGAGTGCATGCTTGAACTCCAGTTTACGGCTAGTGTGCTTGACTTTGTAGTGTGCTTCGAACTTGTTGATGGCAGATTGGATCTCTGGGGGTAGGATTACGGGAACGGTGGGGTAAGTAGGCCAGGCAGATGCAGACAAAATGTTGACGTTTAGGTCAAGGTCGAGTTTTTCGTTACGTTCCTCAATGATGCTCTTGTATGAACTCAACTCTTCCCGTGAGAGTTCAATGTCTCGGAACATTTGCTCCAGGTTGGCAGTGAAACCAGCACCACATTCTATGCAACGTCAGCATACGTGTCACGGGGCTCGGTCTAGTAACACCTACCAATCTTTAGTCTCGACAACATGCTCCTCTCAGCATCTGCACTAGCGCTTCTGCCCATCAGCAACCGCCTGGCTAGATCTTTCTTGTAAAAGGCCTCAAACACAGCCTTGCCATGCAGGAAACGGAACAGATCGAGAACTTGGTCGAGTTGGTTGTTGACTTCAGTATCCTCATCAAACACATCATCTTCTTTGTCCTCTTCGGCCTCCACTTCAGCCGGCTTCTCTGCCTTTCGACTCAGCTGTGTTGGGATCGCCTTTGCACCTCCTCTCAATAGCATGTCGACATATTTGGCAATCATCTCGCCGGTTTTTGAGTTGTCTGTGCCCCAGCTTGCACTCGTCTTCTTAGTCTTGTTCATGAACTTGTCAAAAGCCTCGCGCAGCCCATGACCTAGCTCTTCGTCTCGGTGGAAGGAGGTCTTCCATATGGTGTCTAATTGACGTTTCAGGGTCAAAAGGTGTACAACCATGTTGTCTTGCTCCTTTTCGTTGAAAACAACGGCTGTACCCTCGTCCTCTATCCACTTTGTGAAGCCCGGTCGTAGATGCGAGCCCAACTTTCGACGCTCAAGAAGCGTGTGCAGCAGTTCGAGGTCTTGAACAGCGTTGGTCTCGAGGAGGTCAGCAAGATCGTCTTGGTTTGTTAGTCTCGACTCCTTGTTCGATATCAGATGGTCTTCGAACAGGGTGAGGAGTTCTCGCTTGGTCGTGTTTGGAAGGCTAAACATCTCTACTCTCTGCATTTCGCGGTCCATGAGGGCCCTCGCATTGCGCACATATTCGGGTAATGACTTCTCTGCGCTCTCTGTATCGGCCCATGTGACTACGTATTCCTGGCTGATTTCCATCAAGCGCGGCTCGAAGTGCAGCATGTAGACCTGCATGTCATGGAACATGTTGATTGTCCTGGAGAAGGTCTCGCTGTCAAGGCCGCCGCCTGTGCGGTCGCTTGACACGAGATCGCAAGCACCGTCGACGATGCGGTGGTTCAGCTTGGCGTCTTCAAAGACGATGGAACGGAAGAGGCTTATGCACATGTCGCGGAGGGACTCGTGGCGGGGGAGTAGATAGGCGCGGTCGAGGTAGCAGAAGATCCAGTCGAGATATTTCTGCAGTTGATTAGTCTCCCGGAAACCATTGGCGCATATCGACTCACCATCTGGCTGTTCCATATCGCCCAGGCCTGCAGCGTCGTCCGTAGCACGTCGACATTGGTTCTGCTCAGGCTGTCTTTTGCTTTTGTCCTCAGGCTTCCTCCCACGTAATCCTTGCATTTGGCGATGAGACGTTCTTTTATGTCCTTGGCCATGTTCTGGCGACAGACGTTCTCCACACCCCTGTACAGTTCCTCAAGGCTAAAGTCGATGTTGCCCTGGGCGAAGATGGTGTCGAGGGCCTTTTCGAGCTTCTGCCATGTCTGGTCCAGAAAGGCACGGGGATCAACCTTTCGCACTGGCTTGAAGTTCTTCACGACGAGGCGCTTGGGGCCGCCGCTGGCATGCATGTTGGGCGCGGCCTTGCGCATTCCGTTCCGCTGGCCATTCGGTTTGGCGGGACTGTTGTCGGGGCTCGAGGTCATGTCCACCACGTCGCCATTGCCCGGCACGGCAGCCTTCTTGCTGGGGAAGCTGTACATGTCGGCCGTGCTCATGTTGGCCGCCGAGAGCGGCGAAGTGGCGACCTCGGTGGTTGGGATGGGCGAGCTGTCTCGTCTGGTGCGCTTGCTCGTGGGGGACAACGGGGCTGCGGAAGCGGTGGGGGGCTTGGATTGGGTGGTGAAGAGCTCCTTGATGGTCTTGCCCGAGTGCTTCCGTTTGAGCAGACCTGGATTGGCTGACATTGGGTAGGGTGTGGGGAAGGTAGAGGTTACGGAGCTGTGGGAGTTAAAGCCGCGGTGATGGCTGCTGGGGCCCGCAACCGCTTCCGCTGGTGACGTATCGATAACAGACGGCCAGGGTGAGGGCACTCGCACTCTAGCAGCAGCAGCAGCAGCAGCTAGTGCCGCCGGACATGGCATTGGATGCGACCGGACCTGGAGTTTTGTTCTGCCGTCGGGGCTCCCGCGTGCGACGGCATGGTGTTGGTGCTGGTGCTGGTGCTGGTGCTGGTGCTGGTACCGTGGATGCGGTGCCTCGTGGCGCAGAGCTGTCATGGGCACAGCTGGCGGAGAGAGTGCTGCTCCAGCGCTGGGCGCAGACAGGCTCTTTTGCGCACCACGAAGCTGTCCGGTCGCCGGCACACGGGCAAGCATGGCGTATTATACTGTGAATGGTACTGTGCCTGGGGGAGCAGGAAACGGCAGGCCTGGGAGCACTGCCGTGCCAGGCCCATCCCATGCCGTGCACACGGCCAGCCCGCAAGCCGGACCAGGCGCATCCGTGCAAGAAAGAGGGCGTGTTTCTGCGCACAGGGAGAGCGGGCTGCTGGCTGTTTCGCGGGCCGCAAACCAAACAATTGCAAACACGCCGTCTGGTGGATGCTCGCTGGGCCGTCTTCACGCTGCAGCGTCATGCACGTGCGCGCAACCTTGCACTAAAAGTGCCCGGACATGGAACGCGTCTCCCATTGCCGTCCCCGCCTCCACCACGTCGACCGCAATTGTCGCGCCACCCTCTTCCACCCCCACGCCGCCTCTTGTCCCTTTGTGCACACGCGCGCAGAAACCATGAGTGCGCCCCCATCGCCCGCGGCGGGCGGCCAGCCTGCATCGACAGCCACGCGGCGCAAGTCTGGACGCGTATCCAAAAAACCAGATCGCTTCGCGCCCGACGCCCACTCGACCAGCACCACCAAGCGGAAGCGCGGAACCGACAATGACAGCGGGGTCGAGGCCAGCGAGACGTCGGACCCAGAGTCGGACCCGACGAGCGACGACGAGCCCGACGAGGAGGAGATCAGGGAGCGCAGGCGCAAGAGGAAAACCAAAGGCACCGCCCGTAAGCCGGCAGCTAAGAAGCCAAAGACCAATGGCGACAGTGTCAGCCTGGCCATTCGTCCCGCCGCCAACGCGACACGGAAGATTGCAAAGAGACCGCGCAAGGCGCCCGTCCGCAAGAGCACCCTCGCCGACGACACCGAGGGCCTGTATGGTACGTCTTGCCAGCCCGCCTGGCACCAGCATCCGCCCGCTAACACGCGACAGCCGACGTGTTCGCCAGTGGCGACCGACTGGAAGACGTGACCGCCCGCTGGGTAGCTCGCTTCAACGAGCACGAGGCCAAGGCCGTGGCCGAGATTGTCAACCTCGTCCTGCACGCTTCCGGCTGCGACCTGCGCATAAACGAGGACGACATAGGCGATCCCGATAACGCGCCAAATCGCGTGGCCGAGATCCAGGAGGAGTTCCAGCAGGTACGCCCCTGCAGCCGCCCTGTGCAGCCCGGCGCATGCTAACCAGCCCCAGTACGAGGTCACCGAGTATCCTTTGATTGCAAAGGCAAAGGACGGCGGCGGCCATGCCTTCAGAAACGCGCTACAGGGCTTCTTCATGACGCTCATACAAACCATTGCAGAGTCGGGCCTCATGTACGAGAGCGCGGAGCTGCTGGAGAACATCTCCGTCTGGCTGGGTGCCATGTCCTCGACCGGCAACCGCCCATTCCGCCACACCAGCACCGTTGCCTCATTAGCCATCACCACCGCCCTGGCCCAAGTCGCCGCCGACCTCGTAGAGAACACGGCCAAGCGCGTCCGCCAGAGCGAAGCAGAGGCCAAGAAGTCCAGAGCAAACAAGGCGCGCGTTTCCATGGCCGACAAAGACGTTCAAGAATTCAACCAGAAGCTCGAGTTCGTCGGAGGCCAACTCGACGACTGGTTTGCTGCCATCTACGTGCATCGCTATCGGGACGTCGACCCCAAGATCAGGGTCGACAGCGTCGTGGCACTGGCAGACTGGATCATTGCCTATCCTGACAAGTTTTTCGACGGCACCAAGCTACGCTATCTTGGCTGGGTGCTTTCGGATCCAAACCCAACCACGCGAATCGAGGTTCTGCATCAGCTCGCACGCTTGTTCCGAGACGAGAGTAAGCTGGCTGGACTGAAGACGTTTACAGAGCGCTTCCGACCGCGCATAGTCGAAATGGCCACTCACGATGCAGAGATCAACGTGCGTGCGGCCGCAGTCGACTTGCTAGACATTCTTCGGGAAGCTGGCTTCCTCGAACCCGATGACATTGATTCAGTCGGCAAGCTCATCTTCGATTCGGACGCAAAGGTGCGCAAGTCGGTGGTTGGCTTCTTTGCCGAGAACGTCAACTCGGCATACGAAGCCACGGTAGAGGAAATGGGAGGCGAGGAAGCGCTGAATGAAGCATTGGCGCCGCCAGACGAAGAGAGCGAAGAATACCACAACCCGCGCCTGGAGTGGCTCAAGCTCAAATGCTTAGTCGACCAGCTGCTCTCGTACGACGAAGACGAAGTTGAGTTGCCCTCACAAATTCAGCGCATGTCGCCTGGCACGGAGCTGGGCTTGATTGCTGCTGGTGTCGAGTCGCGGCGTTCGCTTGCTGCTCAAGCCCTTTACGATGCCATTCCAGAGATCCGGTCATGGGAGGTTCTAGCTGGCTATCTCCTGTACGACCATTCACAGACGGTTCAAGGCGACAGCGAGGACCCGGAAACCATGCTCCGCCAGACGTGCCAACTCGAAGAGAAGCACGAGACGGTTCTCTTGGATATTCTGAACGTCGTGGTGCGTATCCGACTTCAGCGCCTGGCAGAGGTGTCCAAGGACAAGAAGAGGACAAAGACGCAGCGTGAGAGCGAGCAAGAAGACCAGGCAGACATGGCCCGGCGGCTTTCGTTGCTGATCCCCCAACTCCTGAAGAAATTCGGTGCCCTTCCTGAAGCTGCTGCGCTATGTCTCAGACTAGAACGCGAACTGAATCTGGATGTCTTTGAGGAGCTTCGACAAAATGGAGCTCTCACTGCGTTGCTCGACGACATTAACAAGCAGTTTCTCACTCATCACAACGAGCGCGTGCTCGGAGAGGCTATTGGATCGATTCTTCATGCCCAGAGCAGCGAGGAACTCAGAGAAACAGTTGATCTCAAGGTGCAAGCGCTCTGGGATGATCTGACCAACACATTCGATACCCTCCGGCGAGGCAAGGATTTTTCCAAGCGGGGCAACCTAGACCAAAACGTCCTGCGTGGAGTTACGAATGTTGTGCTCAAGATGTCACAACTGGTAACTGTTTCGGACGCTTCAGTGCTCGACAACATCCCAGTTCCTGCTAAGACAAAAGCCAGAGGCAAAAAGGCAGCGCTAGATACACCACCGATCGAATCAGTGTTGCAGATTCTCGAACGTGGTGTTCCAGTCGAAGAACTGGACGCGGATGTTGAAGAGGCAGATGATGTGCTTGTCCGTCATGCCATGTCCGTCATGCTCATGTACTTCATGTGGAAGTGCCGAGAATGCACTACACACGTTGAAGAAGAGACCAACATGCCTGAAGACGAGCTCATGGCACTGGTCGAACGAAGAGACACGTGTGTGACAACACTAATGAGAATCATGGAGAGCCGGAAAGGCACAGACGAAGTGCGCCTTGACGCAGCAAACCTACTACTAGACATCTACACCATGTTCTGTACGCTGCGGGTCAAAAAGGGCAAGCTGACTAGGACGCCCAAAAAAACCCAAGGTCGTGGATCAAATACCGTTAATGACGACTGGGAGGCTCTCTGTCGCGATATTGACAGCAACACAACGAAGCTCATCTTACAAATTCTCACAGCGTGGGAAAACCACCTGGCCAAGCTTACCAACAAGCGTCTTGAGGAGCCGGATGTCGACGACGACCCCATTGACCCTGACGATGAACCAGAAAGCGACGAGGAGGATGCCGCTGATGAGGGCGCCGTATCAGACAAGCAAGTGCGTGCCATCCTGGCGGAGCAGTCACTCGATGCATTTGGTGGTCGCATCGTACACGCTGTGCTTGTGGGCGCGCTCGACAGCGATGGCTCAGACACAGTGCGAAAGCGTTTGGAACGAAACAAGACCAAGCTCACACCCACATGGAGGGAAGTCGTGAATCATCTCGATGCAGTCAAGCAACGCAAGGTGCCAAAGAAGGGCGCCAAGGCGACCAAGGACGCCGGAAAAGCAGCGAAAAGCAAAGAGACTGTGGAGGTGGATAGTGACGACGAAGAGGAAGAAGAACAAGAAGCTGAAAACGAGGTGCCAGGCGACGAGATTGAGGACGAAGAAATGGCTGACGGCGATGGCGATGACGATGAGGAGCAGACTAATGGCGTGCAGGAAGCTGCAAAGAATGGCAACGGCACTGCAGAGGGAGATGGAGACGGCGAGGAGAGCATTCTCGGTGATTGAGGGGTTTGATGAGGCCAAAGTGTATTTTATTGTTGTCCGCGTGATGATTGCGAGGCAGATTCGGGGCTCTGCTCTTCTTTACCCAAGCCACGGCTTCAGCATGGCGCTTCGGCGTTGTCACGACTGGTACGGTACGGGTCAGATCTAGGGGGTAGACAGACTTTGTTGGTATGAATTTGTCGGCTGGAACATGACATTGGCTTTTCTTCACTCCAGCTGGTATGTAATAAAAGCTTTGCCGCTTTGTACTGGTGACTTGACTGTCCTGCTCCAGAGAATGGTGCAGCAAATCTTCGGTCCCAGGCCAGATGCTCTTCCAACCCCTATGCTGCGTAGGCAAGCTTGTAGCATGTGACACGGAAGCAAAAGGAGCCGTTATGCCTTGAGCTGAAGGCAAATGGGCTGCAGCGTCAGCACTCAGAGATCTCTGGCCGCGCCGGCACCCCGGCATGCTGCTTGCCAAACTTCCTCATGTGGCATATTCTGGCAGACGGTGTGGATTGCGGCGATCTCTTGGCACAGCGAAAGGCGGCAATGGGCGTCAGCGTTGAGCGCCAGCGCCAGCTTGCCCAGCGTTAGTCCCACGCACAGACCACCCCACACAATACGCGAATTATCGGCAGCCACCTGGGCCCCCATTGACGACTTTCGACCAGCCCGTTGAACACCGTCGACAACAACTGTGAGTACTTGTCTTGAGATTGCAACGCCGAAATCGAAACAAGAAAAGGAAAGGCTGATTTGATAAGACAGCAAGCGACGACTCGCCCCACGCAAGAAACCTCTTTCTCGCAAACACCCTCACCCACACACACATCATGTCTCACGAGTCGGTCTGGTATTCGCGCCCTAGGACTTACGGCAAGGGCTCTCGCGAGTGGTAAGAGAAGCTCCTCCCCCTTTATATATATACATGCAGTCGAAATGTCCGGCCGGGGGCCTGGGAAAAGGAACCGATATTTGCGTACCATGTTGGTCGCTCGACGCGGCGGGGACGAGGGATAAGGATTGGACGGGGATGAAAGGGCATAGTTGAGAACCGCAATGGCTAACAGCGTTACTTGTGCACAGCCGTGTCTGCACGCACCCTGCTGGTCTGATCCGCAAGTACGGGCTCAACATCTGCCGTCAGTGCTTCCGTGAGAAGAGCACCGACATTGGCTTCGTCAAGGTATGTTTTTCTCACTTTTGCGTAGCTATACTTGAGCGAGACGCGCTTCGATTGGCATTCGTCTTTTTGCTATGCTGTACCCAGACACATGTAACTGACGGCGTTTGAACAGCACCGATAAATTCCCCTCCATGCTGTTTTCACGCATCGGCCGGAGTAGGAGGCGCAACTCACGAAGATGATTACCTGACGATACGAAAATGCTGCACCTCGGGCCCCTGGTCTTATTTTCTCCATTGATTTCAATCGCACATGGCGGGGGGGGGAAATGGTACATGGGGGAAAGCGCTAGGTCAATGGGCGGAAACTGAAGGACAGAAAGAAAAGAAAAATCAAAGGCTTTTTGGCGTCATGTGTCGAGAGACAGAGAGAGAGTAGGCATGATCAAATATGTTTTCTTCTTCCTCTCCTCCTTCTCAAGACATGAATTTTTTTTGTTCTTTCTTCTCTTTCTCTCTCTCTCTCTCTCCCATGCGCGAGGTCAAAGGGAAAAAGGTGCTGTCCCGGTCTTTGTGATACGTGAATATCCAAGTCTCTCAATTCCAGTTTGTTATTTGCTGTGATGCGGTGGAACGTGATGGTCGGGGCCAAACAGCCAAGATAAGATGGACCTGTCAGACGAGCCTTGTGCATAACTAACCCCCCCAACACCTAACTCTGTGCGTCAACACATACTCGGAGTACAAGAATAGTAATATATTCACTCTTCTACTCATCTCCTATTCTCCTATTCTCCAGATACATCCTGACATATATGTACATACATACATACATACAGGTATAGATTAAGGGCAATGATACACACCTACCTACCTACCTACCTACCTACCTACCTACCTACCTACCTACCTACCTACCTACCTACCTACCTACCTACCAACTTGATCCGTACAACAACAACAACAACTATTACTACTATTACTACAAGCGAGAGTGAGGGTGAGAGAAAGGTAGATAGATAAACATGTACATTACATACTTGGATTAGATACTTTGAATAAATACGCGCATAGCGACACTGAGATGGATAAAGAACATGGGGGAAAAAAGAAAAAAAAGAAGGAAGTGAAAGTGATGCATTACCTTAACTTACCTTACTAAACTAAACCAAACCATTAACTAAGTAAAGTAAAGTAAAGTAAAGTAAAGTAAAATAAAATAAAGCAAGTACATTCCACAGCTTGGGGAAAAATTTCCCCCAAACCACGTATTGAAAAAAAGGGGGCTAAGGCTCGTGTAAAAGTAAGTAGATAGACACACATATCTCGTCTCATCTCACATCTCACATCTCACCTTACCTCACCTCCCCCCGCTAGACTTGTTCACATGTCACTTTTCAGACTCGTCCACAGCCACAGCCATACAGCCATACAGCCAATCTGTTGTATCTTTGGCGCCGACAATCTTCAAGTCCCGATTTCCAAGTCCCGATTTCCAAGTCCCGAGTCCCAAAGTCCCGAGTCCAGAATGCGTATAGCATATATATATATATATATATATATAACGTACTACACCAGTGAGGCGGCCAAACCAGTGAGCCAGCCACTTTTTCTTGGCACTACGAACACGATAAAGAATACATTATGTCTCTACAACGTAACGCTATCTTATTATATAAAGAAGGCAGAGTTAACCTTACGCTTTAGGCCTTTACTACTAGCTAATTTAAGACCTTATAACGTGCTGTAGTAGCCTATAGCGTACGATATTAGCGGCTCTCTAATTAGCTTTGTAGAATTACTAATTAACTTAATACACGACCTAGAGTCTAGAAGCTTACTATAGCAGAGGAATAGACTATTATACGATATATTCTTAACCTTAACGCGCAAGGATTTGCGCCCTAGCTGTATAAGGTGGTAGATATTGCTAATTAATTGCTAGCTGCTTATAGTAGGGTACCTATTAGTAAAAACTAGGCTTAGCGCTTTGTTGCTTATATAGAGAAGCTTAAGATAGCTTTTAATTAGATAAAGGACTATTAGAGAGCCCTTTAGGAAGACCTAGAGGTTACTAGCTTGTAGTTTAAGCTCGTACAAGATATAATTAACTAGTTTAGAGTCTATCTAGATAACATCTACAACTTTAATAAGACTAGCTTCTAGATAGGCGTTATTAGCTTAATAAAGGTTGTTACTAGTTTAGAACGTTGTACGAGACTAAATCTTATCTAGCTAAGGGACTAGGAGTAGGTAACAGTTATCTAAGGTATCTATGCTACTAGGTATGCTATCCTACTATTTATTATCTACAAAGGACGCGTCTATATCTCTATATAGTATAAAGAGCAAGATATCCCATACAATTAGAAAATTTTAGTCTTAGAGAATAGCTAGACTAACACTTAGCTTAGTCTTAAGTAGTTAAAGCACTTTAACGCGCATATAAAGACGCGTTAGAAGGGGTTATTGTTAAGAGTAGGATCTTGAGTGGAAGTAATATAAGACTTCTGGTGTCAAGACTCTTGGTTGGTTTTCGCGGATGAAGCAACAGGGTGATATGAACAGTGTCTCTGCAAGTAACTCGTATATTGTACTTGTACTCGTAACTTAAGTTGAACACATCGAGCCATAAGTGTAACGATGTTACAACTTCGCCAAGTATGGAGCCAATCCCAGAGCCGGATCGGAGGAAGTACCTGCCGCCCTTCATCAGCCATTCGCCCGAGGTCGGATCCGAATTCGGACCCGACTAGGATAGGTATATATTGAGACACTCCCTGTAGCTAGCTCTGTAGACTTTTGATATCCTTTCGTACAAGGCCTATAGGTGGCTTGTTGAATCTAGGCTCTTTGTGATCCCACGCACTCCCATATGCCTCTGAGTGATCCTACGACCGAAACAGATCCGACCTGACCTTA